TTCTGCCATAGCGGTTTTGCTCCTTCCACCCCCATCCTGGCCTGGCCAGGCTGCTTTGTCATCATAATCCCAAGCTGGCTGCAGCACAGCGCTTCCCAGCCGCTCAATGTGACGCTGGAAATCACCGGATTAGGTCTTAATGGCAGGATCAAGCCACTGGGAGATGAGTGGGGAGAAAGCTCCTGCTCACGCAGGTGGCCGGGCAGTGCTCCCCGTTAAAGCACGCTAGGAATGGCAGAAAAGCAGCTTCTTTCCAGGCTTTTCTCTGCATTTAGCACATCTTTTGTTTCCCAAGGGTCACAAAATGCTGGTCTGTGGTTTGTGAAGGTGATGTTGAGGAGTCAAGAGGTGTTTAAATCTCCTTGCGGGGGAAATTGTCTTGAGAGGTGGACCTGCTGGCCAAAATGTTAATCCCCAATGTGGAAGATTGCCAACCACATGAGGAGTCTGGGCCGTGCTGTAGCATGTTGTGGTATGGTGAAGGACACTGATGTTTTGTGGTCATCTTTCTGCTGGTGGGGCTTCTGAAACACCAGAGAGCCTGACAAGCATGCTGGTTGTGTCTCAGGGTGGCATTGTCAATGAGCAACCACAAGATGCTCCAGGGTAGGGTCTTAGGGTTGGTTCCCTGGGCACAGCATCCCCATACAGACCTTGTTCACCAGCACAGGTTGGCAAGGGCTGTTGTTCAACAGGCTCGGAGGTGTTGGGGTTTATCAGCCTGCACCATATAAGCTCTACCTTGTGTGTCTGTCTTCTAGCAGCACCTTCAAGGCCAGGTTGGACACAGGGGCTTGGAGCAACCTGCTCTAGTGGAAGGTGTCCCTGCCCATGGGGACTGGATGGGCTTTAAGGTCCTTTCCAACCCAAACCATTTGATGATGCTGTGTCCATCTGTCCCAGGGGCACTGGGCATCTGCAGAGGAGGTGCAGACAGCATTTAATGGAGCTGCACTGCAGGACTTGCTCATGCGTGGCTAATGTGCCTGTGGAGCTCACATGGATGCACAGGAGGAGGAAGAGGAGGAGGGCTTAGCTTCAGCAAGCTCCTGCAGGGACACCAACCCATACAGACGGGGATCCCAGCATCGGCTTTTCCAGCTCCCATTCTAAACCAGGTTGGAGAACAATGGCTCCAGCCCCCAAGAGTCTGGATAGGAGAAAAATCAGAGTATGTGTGTTTATGCGGGGGGTTGAGGAGTCTTTCTGCTCTTCTGAGGTTTGAGTTTTCCTTCATCTTCTCCTACTCCTTGGTCGCCTGTGCCTGAGCTGCTTTTTCAGACATAGGGATTTCTGATACATTAAGGAAATGCATAGAATCCCAGCCTGGTTTGTGTTGGAACGGACCTTAAAGCTCCTCCAGCTCCAACCCCTGCCACGGGCAGGGACACCTTCCACTAGAGCAGGGTGCTCCAAGCCCCC